GTGAAGGGCTTTATGTTTTTTGTATGCCTGATCAGGCTGGCAATCTAGCTACAGCTCGATGGCTGACAGTTTTGAGTTACAGACATGGGGAATTATTAATACCTTCTCTGTACGGTCTATATGGCTCAGTTCAAGCAGAGATGGTATTCATGCTGAATTAAATATGAAGTCTTATTGGAAAAAAAATTGCTTTTGTGTGTTCACACGTTTCCTGCTCCCTCCTACCATCTTTCTTTAAAAAACATTTTTTTTACTCTCTTTGTAAAATTTTATATTCGAGTTACTCTCTCTCTCTCTTTTCTCTTCTTTTTCACTCTCTTGTTTGTTGTTTTTGTCATTTCATTATGTCACATATTTCATAAGCCCATGATTCTGTAAACTACATTTATCTCCGCAACCCTATTGATTTCTATATTGAGAAATACCAGTATTATTCATTGTAATAAATGTTGTGTGTACCAAGATAGGAATTGACACTAGGGTGTTTTAAAATCAAATAATGAAATATGAATAAAAGCCATGCGTTTTATTTTAAATGTCAGTTTTGTAGATTGGTACCAAATTTGCAAAGTTTTGAACTCATTTGCTGCAGATGTTTTGTAGGAGTTTAATTGTTTGCTTATTTTCAATTGGCCAAAAGAAGCTGTATGGTAAATTCATATCATGATGCTCATCTGAGAACCTCCAAATTACTGTTGAATTTTCTGAAGATTTTGTCTTATTATTGATGGTTCCGTACAAAGAGATGTTGTTGTCTGTATGGTCAGCAGCTAGATGTATTATGGGACTTATGATTGATGAGTGGGTTAGGAGTTCACAGTCAAGACCTGTCTGGCTACTGATGTGTCTGTCAGTTTGTCTGTTAATTCCTCTGTCTCTCTGTCTGTCCCTCTGTCTGTCTCTTTGCCATCCATCTTTATCTCTCTCTACCCCTCTCTATCTGCCCCTCTCTATCTCTCTCTCTCTCCTCCTCTCTCCCTCTCTCCTCTCTCCTCTCTCCTCTCTCCTTCTCTCCCTCACTGTCAAATTTTGAGGCAGTCATATGTTTCATATTTTTCAATATCATTTGCGTATCTTTTTATTTTTTAATATTCTTTAATCCATTCTATGCTCTTTATTCATATGTAAGGACTTGATATCATACTCATTTTCCAATTCTGCACTTCTTAATGCATAACGATTTCTCACCTTTCCCCCTCTCTCCTCAATCTATTCTCCATCTAATCCTCCCATTAGTTTCTACTTTCTCACCCGCTCCTGTGTAGAATATGGGAGATAACATATTACACAACACATGATTCCCTAACGACCCATTAGCACTGGTGCAAGGCGGTCAATAATTGCTTGCTTGTTGAGGAGTACCCTCATCCTACCCTCCAACCCAGCCCATCGTAATCACCGACTAGCAATGCTGCACTTACATCTTAAACACGGTGTAATACTTGAAGACGCAGAATACATTAATGAGTAACCCTGTAGCGTTAATTTGGGATGTCCACAGACTACGTCATAGGCCGATGATGCGGGGTTGAGATAAGAGGAAGGGGAAGGGTATCTTCCATATACCTGTCATTCCGTGATGGATACGTGTTGGATGTTAAGCCCTTCTCCCTGCCCCACAGCCAGAGAGCGAGGAGGGGGAGAGAGGGGGGTAACATGAATTAGGTTGACCGTGATGAATGAAGATGGGATATTATAAGTGAATGAACCATTTAGGCTCTTTGCACAGGGTTTACTGCGTTCATGACCGCAAAAGCGTTGACTTCATTTAGCGGTCGGCCGAGAGTGGTGATTCTTGCTCTGCGCTCTATACTTTCTTACCGTTTTTGCAACATGTGGGGATTTCATTAGCAGGGTTCGTAGTGAGACCCCTGAGATTGGGTATGAGTAATATTATCGATAAGGAAGTGAAAGAGTGAGAGACAGACACACCCTCTCTCCCAACTGAATTAGGAGTGAGTGAGATAGAGACATAATGAGAAATATTTATTTTAAGGAAACACAAGATGTGTATTGTTCATTTTGCAATAAGAAAGATATATTTTTGGCTTTCTGACTTTAAAAATCAGAGATAATTTAAAAACAAGGGATTTCGTAATTTCTAAGGAAATTCAAAGAGACACAAGGCTTAACCAAAATGTTTGTGTGTGTGGTAAAATGATTTTTGTGGATGTTTCAATAACTCTGAAACAGACAGATGTATTGATCAATCTGGATGTCAAGAAATGGCATTTAAAAGAAGATATGAGGCGAGCCAAAGATGTCAGTTTTATCCGGTAATTGGGATCTGTTGATGATATGATACGGAAATGCATACCTCATTAAAGCAGGTAGTGGCGTGAGACAGCCTTGCATGTTTGCCAAGATTGGATTGAAGACCTTGGTGTAATAAGACAGACATGGTCGAGAAGTTGTAGAATTTGATTAATTTCCTCCCTCTCACTTTTTATCACTGGCTTATATTTCTAAGTGAGAAAAAGGAAACTGACACAGTGCTTACAAATTTAGTGTTTTTTTTTCACTATTTAAATATTTGAAAGGGGAAATTTTAAGGTATTTTGAACTTAACAAGTGGTCATTGCTTTCTGCAGTAGATATGAAAACAGCTGAATAAGGTTAAGGGTTAATTTCTGGTGAAGTATGAGATGATTATTATTCATTCATGATTTCTTCTTTATATATAATATTTATGCTATTTAATCTGTTTTTGAAAAGACATCAACATTCAAAGGAAATAACTTTCAATAATGTTTTTGTGCTGTATGCTCTATTGTCTCATTCATTCTTTTATTTGATCTAGAATAGCCACACAAAAGAGCACCCAGTCATCAGCCATCCATTATGTATCAGTTGTTGGAAGGCTGGTAATGATACTCTGCTTTCGAGGGTAGTTATTTGGCCGACTTGGAAATAATTAGCAACCTGACCCTGTTTAACCCACATCTTACATCAGACCTTCTCAAACCTTCCCATCCAAACATCAACATCTAAAAACAAACAAGCTTTTCTTCTTGTGTCTTTTGTGACTGAAGCTTGGATGTAATCAAAGAAGTGTTGGTATGTAACAGGATGCAATCAGGTCAAGAAGTCTTGGCTAGGAAACCATACCTTGATGACCGAGTCTGCTCAGACTTTAGAAACAAGCAGACAGATTACACATCCTCCGTCGTATATAACTTTCGGCGGAAGAAATAAAAGGGTATCGATCGTATAGTTGTCATTTCCAGCGAGGTAATTGTGTTCCAATTTATTCTCGATAATGCTCCATGTTCAAGCTGCAAATGGGTGGATCATGTGACTGTAAAGTGTTATGTCAGTCAGGGAATAAATAATTCTACTTTATAAAGAAAAGTGTACAACTCCTGAAGTGAAGTGTATCTTACAGAAGTCAATTCAAGCATCCTGCTGATATCAATGTATCGTATCGTTTTGAAATCAACATATAGTATGTCACAGGAACATTTTTTGCTTATTAAATGAATTAATGAATAATCAGCTGAGCCTTGTAATGGCCTTTACTATTGAATCTTAGAGCCTTTTCTATCGAATGAAAGAGAATTAAATAAATAACACAATAATGCAAAGTTATCTTAGTTTTTTTTTTATTAAAATTGGATTAAGTGTTAATTAATTGAAAATTCCAAAAGATTTTGACTTACTTAGGTTTTGACCTGCTTTTATCCTGCTTTTATCCTAATGTGTCACCTCAGACGGTTTCTTCATGGTATCTGTTTACACAGAATAGGGACTGTATCAAACATTCCCTTGTCATTGATTCATCCATTGGCCGTGATAGAAAGCTCGTAGTATCACCTCGCTCCCCTTACATCCATTATACCCTGTCTTGAATACTGATTTTTAGGGCAGGAACCAATTTGTAGTTATTAATTCTAGTCCTCTGAGAATCTCAGAAGTAGACTACCTACAATGCCTATCATAGAGGAGAGGTGTCAGACCGTAGAAAGTAGGTTTCAGGCCACGGTTAGAAGAGAAAGCGAAGGCCGGCTGGCTACCTACCATCATTACCTTTCAGCCCTACAAAAGAGATTCGACTCGGTAATTTGCTGTCGATGCGAGATTGGAACAAGATATCATTTCCGTCCAAGCCCCCTTCCCCCGTCGGCTATCTGACTTTGCATCTAATATTGTGACAAAATGCATTCATATATGATGTCATGCTATGTATAATGCATGGGGGAATTCTGTATCCTTTACCGATTCAGGAGCGAGCGGATTAAAGCCGCTTTCGCAAATCTTTTGCTTGGGACAACACTCCATTGATTGTAGCGGCGAGCACAACAAAAGTTGTCAAATGACATGTATTTAGGACAGAGATGCACACTTCTTGGCAGGAGTATTGAATACTTAATGCGTCGCTGATTATGAGGGGGTATCTCAAACATAAAAAGAGGATCAAATATGCTTACATTCAGAGGGTTACACTGTTCTTAAGTATCTAGCTTGAGAAATGTAGCAGTGTGCATGGATCAGAAACGGATGTGTGCTTGAATTAAGTGTGAAAATTGAGCTTAGTGCAGGTGTTTGTGATGCGAGAATTAGGTGTTCTGTATTATTTCATACATGTTCGGGCAATAATAAAATGTCACTCTAGGCTGGAAGAAGTTGATATGAAATCACATGACATACTGTCAGCTTTTTCAAAGACATTTCTAAAACGTGAGAATGTGTTGAAATTGGAGGATGTAGAAGTACATTTCTGTTATGAATTGTTTTTGTTGTTGTTAGGCATCACATTTTTCTTTTATATCATTTGCATGTAGTGGCAGATGTAATAGTTGCTGGGCTTCAGTCAGTCTATGACTTTGTCATATTTCCTGTCAACTTGCAAATATCATAATAGGGTAAAAATAGAATGACCTGGTTCTTATATGTTGGGTTTTGATACATCTTATTATATTCAATTTTACTCTCTCATACAAGCTAAAGAAAAAAATCTTTTGATTAATAATGTATCATTATTTTCTTTTTATTTTCTGTAGTTTGAAGACTGCCTGTATGAAGGAAACGCTCTACTGGATGATCTTCAGATGGACATGTTAGAACAAACACACCAAGAAGCCATGCAGTTCACAGCTTGTCTACTACACTCCGTAAGAAACCTAAATCACATTTTAACTCTTCCCCTCTTCTTGAACTAAATATTTTACTATAAAACCAGATACTTTGGTATTACAACAGATATGAAACAGTCACAAATTGTTTAAGATGTTCATTTTTATGGTAAGAATTAGGGGAAAATGCACTGTTTTAATTCATTATTTTTTTGCGGCATGAAACTTTAGCAAATGGGGACCACTCCCAAAATTCATGACGTTTCATGCATCTGAAAGTTTCTGGCTGTACAGTACTACATACTGAATCTATTCTGCTAATATTTCATGTGTTTCAAATAATCATGGATGAAGAAGATGGATAGAACATCACAACCAACATTTCTGCTATGGAAAGAACAGAAATGCTTCGAAAAAATAAACAACCGAGCTGCATTTAGAAGAGAAAAAGCAGATACACACATCTTGCTTTGCTTGAAATGTAGAGACAGACAGATAAATAAACAAGAGTAGGGAGTCACACAGACTGACTGACAGACAGACAGACAGACTGATGGAGCATGAGAGAGAGAGAGAGAGAAAGCATGGATACTTCTAAATAATAGAGATGATGGATGGAAGTGAAATATAAGATGCCATTTCAAAAGACAGAAAGTCTAAAAAGGCTGAAATTGTGATGAAAAGTATAGAGTAGGTCCATCAGTCAGTCAGCGTCAAGCACTCCCAGGTTTTGTTTGATGCGCCACTGTGGAATGAACACAATCTGCTGCTTTCTTCTTCACATTAGCCTTAGTCACAAGGCACTGCATGCATGCATTCCCTCCTCTTCTGTCCTAAATTTACATCAGCATCGTTAAAGCATTTTACCCCCAAAATACAAAAAAAATCTTGAAACGTATTTCTCGATGAGGACTACCAATATTAGTCATATCCCAGTCCTACTGATACTGTAGCCCCTAGATAGGACTTGAATATGGAACCCTTTTTGTATTTTAAAAAAAATTATTGGAGACCCTAGCTAAACATACTCACGGTACATTTCTCATCAAGAGGAGCCTACACATCCATTTCAGTCATTTTCATTTTAAACTAACACTTAAGTCCAAGGAGTAGTACTAGCTTTCAAATAAAATTAGTAGTTGAAACATTAACAGTTTTCATGATAAATCACTTTTACAATTGAAGATCCAAATCAAATTAATAGTCTGAAATATTGATAAATTGACATATGTATATCTTTTAACAATTTAAGATGTTGACTGAAGATGCGAAGGTGAGAATGAAAATTTGAATGGTCTGGTATGAAGACTGTATTTTAGGAGAGCATGCATAGCCAGGAGTATTGTATGGATATTTGATAGGGTATTGTTACTCTGTGCGTGATTTAGAGGATGAGGTATGATTGTGATATGATAGCATGCTAGATCACCATGGTAATTGGCCATAGCAAGGAGAAACAAGGACGAGTTGCACGGAGAGGTTTCCCTGTGGGTGAAGAGATATAGGAGGGTGAGGTTTGTTGTCCCTTTAGAGAGTGGGAAAGAGAGAGAGAGAGAGAGAGAGAGAGAGAGAGATAGAAAGAGAGAGAGAGGAGAGAGAGAGAGGAGAGAGAGAGAGAGAGGGGGGGGGAGAGGGGAAGAGAAGAGATTATGGTAATTGGCCATAGCAAGGAGAAACATGGTGAGAGATATAGGAGGGTGAGTTTTGTTGTCCCTTTGAGAGAGAGATAGAGACAGAGAGAGACAGGCAGAGAGACAGAAAGACAGAGAGAGAGAGAGAGAGAGAGAGAGAGAGAGAGAGAGAGAGAGAGATTCAACAAATAGAAACAGAGACACACACTCAAACACGTATTGGAAGGTAAAGAGAGACAGTGAGGTGGTAGAAGGATTGTGAGAGGTACAGAACAAATGAAGTGTAGGCCTAGATACAAATATTGTTAATAATGATATGTACTGCAGTCGGTCCTGATCTAGATTTAGTCACTTATCCCAGTTACAGTTTTCCAGCCCCATCTTATATATCCCATATTGATTTCATCTCACTAAGAGGGCTCTAAAAGTGATGGTAATATTTCCAAGCGCATTTGGTGATTATCAATAGAGAAAATTTTTGAGAAGACTCACCATGGATGTTCCTCCGTCCTCATTTTTTCTCCAATTTTAATGAAAAGCAGCGAAGATTGGAAACGTGGGAATATGTCTAGCTATGTTATGGATATGTTTTGTTGGGTTAACATTCCATAAACTTACAAATTCCCGGTATGCAGCATGGTGGGTGAAATGCCTGGTATGTAAATGCGGAGGATGTATGCATCAATTCCAGTCAGTCTTGGGGCAACATGACGATCATCAATTATTAGAAGAAAATATGCCAGCATGTATCACATGGTGACAGGTTAGGTTAACAATTCAGGAGGGAAGGTATATGTCCTGTGTACCAGAAACATCCATGATAACGATAACCAAGCTTTAATGTGTGGGACCTATCGGGAAAGGATGAATAGATAGCATCTGCTTCGAGCCAGAAAATACATGAGTAGGTGTCTTTCTTGCTTTCATCAGATGATAGTTTATGTTGTGATGGAAGAAAGAATTTTACTCTGCCAAATTAATCCCTACATTGATGCCCTGTTTTATCACAAACGGCCGAGGATTGTGTTTTCATTCTGGGTTCAAGAATGCTCTTGTGAATATTTCTGCACAAAGAAGTATGTAAAGAGAGATTTATTGCCTGTGGAATGAAGATGGCTGGAAATACCTTAGCGACAGACAAGTTCAAAAGTTTTGTGACCTCTGTTCATCATCACGACAGATATACCAGTGACAATCACCCCTCCCCCAATCCTACACCCACTCTCAAGTCACAGATGTCATCGTAAATTTCCACATCTAAGAGCAGTCCTGTTCAGCATGTATCACAATTTATACTTTCTTTCTTTAGGCGTTTTACTCCCAAACTCCAGAATTGAATGTGGCCAAATGTGTGAGATAGAATCTTCAATAGATCTGAGGACATTCACTCTGGGCCTTTTGTCATGTTCAGTTTCCTCTCTTCTAAGTAGAAGTAAGGGAACATTTTCGTTTAGGGGGAAAAAAGAGTTTATTTGCATTTTTAACTTCTCTCGCCCCGGTGCAAATTGATGGCTGCTATTACTGCCCTGACAAAATAGCCTGCAACCATGAGCGGTATCGCTTTTCTGCAACAGCCAACGACGACTATTAATTTGTGGCCGAGACGGGAGTGCGATATCGGCAGTGCCGTGGCGATTTAATCATGCCTGGGATGGTTTCCATCCACCCGACCATCAACCACAGTCTCGTGCTGGCGGTCTCATGCAAGTCAGATGTGTTTTACATAGGAGTCGCCTTACCCCCACCCTTTCGTTCTGTTGGGGGCCCCTAAAGTGGTGTCACTGTGTAAATTGCCCTCTAAAATGCCACATTTTTGTTCAATTTGCTTCGATTTTGTGGGAAATACTTCAGTGACTCATCCTGATACCACTCTAATCAGACTTTTCAGAAGAGGGATTTGGTTTGCAAAAAGAAGCTGTTGAAAAAGAAATTTAAGCTGTTCTTATTATTCTGACCACCATGCAACTTTGGCTTCAATCATATAATACCTTGAACATAACACCAGAATTCTGATGAGACAGAATAGAGAAAATATTCCAACGAGACTGAGTTAATAGAAAAAAGAAAAAAATAGCCTATTGTGAATTCAATTCTGTCATTTGACAATCAAGCCATTGTCTAATCACTAATCCTTTGATGTGTTTTCACATTTATCTTGAGTAAGTGACCTTTACCGGGGAAGATACCATTATAAATCAAATGTTGACCCGATATCAGTTACTCTACCAGACTTTGAGAAGTTCCAGTGGTGAAAGCTATCCTTTCTCTCCTGTGTCTTTCTCTAAGATTTCTCTAAGATTTATTATGGTCACACAGCTAGGGTCACTTTACAGATTGAATTCTCAAGTCTTATTTGCAGATGGATGATAGTGTAGGAAGGGAAGTCAGATACTTTGTTTATTTCAAAGTCTAGCGAGTATCTCATCAGAGATGACCTTGTGCTTAAGAAATCAGCTTCCATGATAACCTAAGTGCTCCCTGGAGATTGAGGAAGATATAAGTATCGTGACTAGTGTGATTCTGCTCTAATTTAGCATTGTAATGCAACCCTTGTTTTTAGGATACCCTATACTTGAAAGCATTAATTTTTTACATTTTTAAGTGAGTGAAAATCTGTCCACAGGGAAAAGTGATTCAATTGTGAGAAAATTTGTCTTCAAGTTGTGACTGCATTGCAACTGGATTTAAATGTATCGCTTGTGGTGTTTTACATGTATATAAGTTGAAGTCGAAGGAAATTGAGTGTCTGAAACACATTTTATTTTATTTGTTCATTTACACATTGACGTCAGAGGCTGCAGATAGAAATAAAGACAAATTGAAGCAAAATAGAAATTTGCTGCTTACAAAATGTGGGACATTATAGAGATGTGAGCATTTTACACAAAAAGATACAATCTCTTAGAAACGAGTTCTCTTTCGTATGAAGCAAACACACAGACAAAAAGAAACATGCCATTGATTGGCAGATGGTGCCAGACTCGGAAAGAGCGTTCGCATATCACACACTTTTAACCAACCTCTTTCAGAAATACCCTAGAATTGTAACACCTCTTTTTTCCTGCGTTCTAACCGTTCACACTTGTCGCACATGTACCAATATCCGCACACCTTCAGCAAATAGCAGCTTGACGTCACATCACCCGGGGAGGTATGCGTTTTAGTCGGAGCAATACGAGATGGGGTGGGAGGGAGACGGAGGGGGAGAGAGAGAGAATGGGATAGGGATGAGAGGAGGGATTGAAAATAGCTTTTGATAAAAGTTTCACCTGGGGAGATATCCTTTTAGGTGAGAGATGTAAGGACAGCAAGGGGAGAGAGATGAAAAGATAGAATGATAGAATGAATGTGTGAGATGTATAAAGGAAGAGCGAGGGATTGAAACTGTAGAAATGGGGACATGAATGGAGTATATGATTGTAAATGTAACTCCTTCCTTCCATGGATCAATAGTCAGAGAGAGAGAAAGAGAAGAAACATATTAGACATGCAAGCGATAGAGGAGAGAGGGATGTTGGTAATGGAGATTTCTTGATTGAAAGAGAGTATAGGAAATCATATTCAGGAAAGGAGAGAAGATCGACTGACCGATTATACATTGATAGGAAAATGTGGATTGGAAAAGGAATGTAGGGCCAGGTAGACAGACTGGCAGACAGATATGTGACGCTTTTAGAAACAGGTTTTAAAAAAAAGAAGATTGGTGGACACATTTCATTTCACCAGCGGAGTGTTGACTTGGCCTCTTGTGGGGCTCGGGATAGGTAATAGGAAAGATGACACAAGAATGCACTTTAGTGGGCCGCTCGCAGGTAGGGTAGAATGTGACAAGAATGTTGGATCAAATAAGATGATAAGACAGGTTCGGTACATGAATGGACCCTATGAAATGTAGTCTTCCAGATGTTAATGTTTCTTTGAAGTCAGTAATAAAATATTAATGTGTCAGTAATGAAAAGTGAAATGATCTAATGAAATTTAATATATCATCAGACTTGTACTTTGATGATACATGTTTATGTACAAATAGAAAATTTCAGTATTTATTTACTGTAATTTCTGTGTTATTTCTATCCTTTATAAAAAGTGTCGATGTAGCATTGCCATGCTATCAAAATGAAACTCTTAAAGTAGCATAATGTCACTTATCACACAAAAATAACAAAATGTTTTTTTCTTCTCTTTTTTGAATGACACAGGAGGGCAGACCAGATGATGATGGAACCACAGACACTGGAACAACTAACACCTCCAATCACCTAGAGAAGGACAGCGGTGTGGGAAGAGCTACGGACGAGAGTACAAGACATGACGAGAGCTCAGAGCAAGAGATCCTGGTAGATGATGCAAGTATCAACCAGAAGTTCCCTGTGGATACCACTAGCTTGGGCAGTGGGGGTGACCTCAGGTACAGCAACGACAGCTTCACGTCCAACTCAACGGCAGAGCATGACTTCATGGGCCATGATATCTCAGTGGAGGAATGCATGAAGTTCCAAGCAGCTCTGGAGAGCAAGTGTGACAATAAGCATTTAAGGAGTGATACCGATGAAAGCATGAAAGGAAAAGAGACCAAAGTGATGAGGTTGGGATCAGACTCCATGGATACTACCAGTCAGAGTGGGGATTCGCTGAACAGGCCTTGTCGCAATCGCTTGATCTGTGATCAGCAGGATGAGCTTCAGAAGGAAAGGAGAATCAATGGCCATGATGTGTGGTTGTCCAATCATGCACAGGATGAACAATTAGACACTATTCCTTGTCAATGTCCAAGCTCTGAATCAAGTCAAAAGGTAGATATGCCTGAGAAAGACAACTCACACCAGCGACAAGAGGACCTGTCGCCAGAAACCAAAGAAGAAGCCAATAAGGAGAACGGTTTGCCATCAAATGAGAGGCAGCACAGAAGGTCTAGCTCAGGCTCAGGAAGATCTCATAGAGCTCCAAGAACTGTTCCTGGTAGTCCAGGAGGAAGGAGCAAATCTTCTTCGAGCTCCAGGGATAGATCAAAGAGCACTAGCAGTTCAGGGTCCACCAAGGGCTCCGGCAAGGACAAGCATTCTAGCCCCAGTAAGGGAGCATCCACAAACAATGGAGAAACAAACCACAAACATCAACAAACCCAGCAGCAGCAGCAACAGCAACAGCAACAGCAACAGGACCATTTAGGACAGCTACCAGGTGCAAAAGCATATCCACGCAGTCCTGCCACAAACCCTCATCTCAGAGCACAGTTCGGCCAACGCAGTCCATACTTAATGCAGCATGATTCTACAAGGACTAACCTATTAAAGCACAATTGGAAGGTCCAACAGCAAGCGTCACAGCTGAAGAGGAGCTTTGACAAGTATGGTAGCATCCAGAGCCTGCAGTCTGTGCCAGGGTATGCCAAGCACTATCGTAGCTACCTCCATCTTATCAACCAGAATGAGGAAAATGCCATGAAATCTCAGAACAATTCACAAGGAAATTCAGAGGGGCAGTGGAAGGTTAAGATCAGGAGTGATGGCACACGCTACATCACCAAGCGCTCAAGTCGTGATAGACTCCTGAAGGAGCGAGCCACCAAGATTCAAGAAGAGCGTGCCGGGATGACGACGGATGATGAAGCAGTTAGCGAGATGAAGCTTGGAAGGTACTGGAGCAAGGAGGATCGTAAGCGACATTTAGAACGTGCCAAGGATCAGCGGTTGAGACGAGAGTATATGCAGCAGGCACGCATGGAATGTCTTCAAGAACTAGAGGAGGATATACTGAGTGGCGGCGGAAAGCGGGAACCTGACATTGTGGAGCTGAGCCATCGAAAGCTGAATAAGAGGAAAGGTCGCAAAATGATGCTTGATGACTTCACCACCGTGCAGGAGATGTTGATTCATGGGTCAAAAGTCAGTCCAGACTCAGCTAAAGAGTTCAGTCCTTTCCTTAATGTTACCATGGTATGACAGCAGTCTATTTATATTCTCTTATTTTACCTAGTTTCAGTCTTCTCTTTCTGTCATGGAAATAATATTATATGGGCAGCAAGGTTTCTATGCATTTTTTAAATGGTATAGCCAGTGACAAATCCTAGTTTGATTATAAAATATAAATATTGTATTGGAATCAGTCATGCCATATGTGAAAGATGTGCAAGCACTTATCATACATAAATTAGAATAGGTCAAAGTTCTTTAGAATTATCCCTGCATCAAATTATAATAGAAAGTCTAATTGCCCAATTATGAGGTTTGCTGCATCAAATAGTCAATTTACTTAGTTTCCTTAATTCCTGAGAGATCATGGTAGATTAAAGCGTTCATTTGACTGCATGACTCAGCTTCGCAATTGCCAGACCATTCTGATGAGGAAAACTGGCTCCAGCTCTGTGCCAAACATATGACGAGAGGAGTTTAATTGAACGGTTTATATTTATCTCTATTTCGTGCATTCTGCGAATCAAAGATGGGAGTCTGAAATAATGTAAGCAAACCACAAGAAATGATTACCCCTGCCAAATGAAGTTAATTAAATCCTGGCAATGCTTTAAATTTGCTACTGTCATAACCTGGGCATTCGACCATCTGTGTCTCTGATGGATGATTTATCCATCCGACAGGCTTGCTCTAGCTGCTCGGCCGGCCGGCCAGCATCCTCCTAGCTCTCATTAAATCCAGCATTTCTTCTCCTTTCTGTCCATCATGGCCATTGTTTATGATGAGACAGACCCAGAGCAAGGGCTTGCTATCTATTCAAATCATCCGTACAAATCACTTTAAGCTGCTAATCAGTCCCGTGCAATTGCCAGGATTACAATTCTTGTAATGGGATGACATCAATTAATGTGTTTGCCTTGGTATGTCTGTAAGATGTTAAGTCATTATGAACTCACTGATGGATCCATGTAATGATGGCCGTCTCACTAACTGTCACTATTTTATGAGCTCACTATTTTGTTCTCACGGACGCTATCCACCCTGCCAAGGTGATCAAGTTTCTATGTATCTAAGTTCAAATGCAGAGTGTCAAAATACATTTGTCCTGTATGATTTCACATTCATCTATTATGCCAAATATTGTTTATTTTATTTGATAGATGTGTATAGATTAATGTAAATATGTATTAAAAGAAGGAAAGTTATCATTTTAAAAAGATGTTTTAAACATAAATGCATTTCTGCTATTGATTAATTTTTTTTAAATGTTGATAGAGTTAAGGTATGATTTTATGTTTTAGTGTAGCATCTCTGGCTCACTGGTGTGTGCTTACCTCTCTCTTAAAGTGTTATACGGAAATCTGTTAAAAGGGACCAATTTTGGAAAAGTTAACATTTCCTTTGCAAATAACATGTACATTTTTACAGAAATTTTCAAATTAGGCCTCCATTAAGCGAGCTCTAAAGTATGCAACTGATGGAGGGTCTGATAGAAACCTAGTTCACTATAATGTGTGATTTCCACCCTTCGATCATGGAACAATTAACAGTCTGATCTGACAAAAAATAATGCTGTATTTATACTTTCTTAGAAATTCTTTCCTTCATCATCCTTTCTTGTAACAAAATTAAAAGAGAGGGGGAGAGGGGGGGGCAGAAGTCTTTCTGGTTTCATGTCTTGCCTTCTGTGAGGTCAAAAAGCTTGATGATTTTTTTTTTTTTTTAAAGGGTAAAGAAAAGGGAAAGGAGATGGAAAAGCGAGTAGAAAGAAGGTGTCCGGGAGGATGGTAAAACGATTGCTAGAAGGGATACGAGGAAACGTGACACTATTCAATCTTGTCATGAGGAATGGAGACCAGGATTGCCTTTTGTACGTTCTCCAGATCAATCATCCCCTCTCTCTCTCTCTGCTTCCATCCCCAATCTGCTTTTCACAAAAGAGAGGAACAATAAGGGAAAGGTGAAGTGGGTGGGGATTGGGGAATAAGTAGGACAGCCAAAATAAAAGGTGTAGAAAATGAAATGAATTTGGAAATCTGGAATTGACACAGTAAGAGAGTGCTGTAGAGGGAGGGTAGGTGCTGTATTATGTGGGAGTGCGAGGAAGGTTAACCCCCAGCATTTAAAAGGGCCACATCGTACCGACTCAAAATGCTATTTCTTGGCTTATTTTTTTAGATTTGAGCAACTCATTTTGAAATGTATCTCGTACATTTGCTTGGCCTCCTCTATTTATTTGACTTGGCAGCTGGTGCTGATCATAATGTTCATGATGTAGTATCATGACAAATTAAAATGTTCCTTTTCTTGCGCCTACATCTTGACTGAAGGATAAAGATAAGCCTATGGGTTTTCTGGTGATTCTAGCAACTTTAGTAGTATCCTCTGCAATGGAAAATCAGTGCATTTCTATCGCTGAAAAATAACAATTGAATTCTTAGGGGGTGAAAAGGGAATGTAATATGTTAACATTTTTATTACAATATAAATCAATCAATATTCAGGACCGAGGTATTTTTTATATAATTTGATTTGTATTAATTTAATAATTCCAATTGTTGTGACACTGTATAGAGCAGACCTAGCCCGAGTGACGACCATGATTTTGATTGTTTGTTTTGTTTGTGACAGTATTTCTTTGATTTGTGCCAAATGTGACAGACTTAAGACTACACTCCTGCACTAGTTGTGTGATCAAATGTAGCAATAGATCAGCATGTTATGATGTATGTATATTCGTAAGGAAAAAAATGTATGCGGTCATTTCAAGTCCGCATGCCTCTTTTTGCCAAATGCGATTTTGCTATTATTTGTCCAGTTTTTAGAGTAGACAAAAAAAAGATATATGATTATTTATTCAAATTTGCCTCTCGTTGTCTTCTTATGCATATTATCAATCTTTTTATACACTTGATATTCCTTTGTGTATGCTTTCTTATATTTGAAAATATATCTAAATATGCATGGACAGACATAAGGTGGATGTCTATAGTGAATGAATGTAGGGTGATAGTGGACAAGTATGAAAGTATGTATATCTATTTTGTACAGTCTTGTAAAAATGTGTATTACAGAATGAAAAACAAAAATTATAATAAATCTATTACTACAAGTATTTCAATATATTATTGTGACAAGAATGGAGAATGTCGCAATGTGTCTTTATAACGTGGATGTGATTGCATCGCAGCAATGTGCTGTGTATTTAGTATGGGATAATGACAGAAGCATTGGGTTGATCCAGTGTTTATAATTGAGTGTTCTGTAACTTGTGAAATTCTTGGTGATTTGGCATTCTTATGATGGAATCAATGCTCATTTTAGGACAAGAAGTGGGCATGAAAATTCCAACTCGTAGATTTAAATAAGTGACTGTATTTATTTTTTCAAAAACAGAGCATTTGTTTTTTTGAAACCCTCTCGGGTTGCATCCTGTTGCTTGCCGCATTCTTCTAATTTCATATTATAGGTGACCTGTAAAATAAGATGTATTAATTAAGTCAAAATAAGACAAAAGGAGAATGTGAAAGGAAAATTGATGATTTAATTGTATTTCTGTCTTTCATAGTTTCATTGTCTTAGGGGGTTAAGTACCACTGTCAAAGAAAATATATCACAGTTTACACTTTAGGCTCTTTTCAGTAAATATTTGCTTCTAAATTCTAATCATTTGAAGTAGTTTGCATTATCTTTCATGTCAATGCAGATTAAGTTACATTTGTAGAGGACTATTCAGTAAGTCTAATGGGGAAAAGCTAAATATAGATTATCACTCAAATTGATACAGGATGCTATTTTCCATTAACTCTAGTGTGTATTTGCAGAAAGATACCAGACAAGAAATCTCCTGCATTTTCAATCTATTTCCCTTCTTATACCTGTATCATGTTGCATTTAGATGTGCCGTAAACTTGTCAGAGGTGTGTTTCAGAAAGGTACTGCTCAAACTAATATGATAGTAGAGATTCTGTCTCTACTTCCCTTTAGCTAGTCCTGAGTTAGTAATCTAGCACGTAAGGGGTAAGAACAAGAATCTCCTTGCTTTCATCTCACGCACATCCTCAATTGGTATTGATTTCATCACCCAGGTGTGACGGTATCACCAATGGCGGTGCTGGCTGGTCCTCCTGTTTGCCAAAAAATCATCTCCCACAATTTCACTGGAAGGTATTTGCCAGCAACTGCATTCAGAGTTAACGCCCCAAGGTTTTTTTTTTCCCTTCCTCCCATCGAGATGGGTTTGCAATTTGGCGAGAATTTCTCAGTGTTCAGGTGCTGGTGGCTGCATTTTTCCTTTGCATATTGACGCAAGGAAGAGCGGGCGGGTATGGCAGGTAAATACCAAGCGTGTTTGGACTGTCGGGAAAGCGTTCAAGGATGACACGGGTCAGTGAGAACGACCCAAAGTAGAGCTAGAAATTAGAAGCTTGTGCCCCCCTCGTTGTCCTTCAGCAAATTTGAGGGACGAAACGCCTCGTATTTGAGCAAAATGGTGGTTAAATTGATTTTTATAGAGCCGATTATTTGTGAATAGGGATCATATTCAGACAGTGATAGGGGGATGCAGAGGAATGGAAGGGGGTGATGTATCAAGTATAATGTTAAGTTCAGTGTACTCTTTCTTCCTCTAATGAACAGAGAGAGTGGAGTCTTTTGGAATTTCTATATATGTATTTTTATGTGTTTGCACAAGGTCAAGCACAACACATTTTCACATTGTGCATTTGATATGAATGTTTAATCTATATAATGTTTGTTGTTTTATTGTAAAACTTAATTATGGATACTTTAAGAAACTTGTAAACCTGTACAGAGAAAGATGATGAATTAAATACTTCACCAAAAAGATATAAGTGTTTGTTGTTTTAATTCTTTTTTTAAAGTATCATTTTGTTATCCTAGCATGCTTTTTATGTCCAGTGACATGAGAAGAGACAAATGTAAAATAATTTGGATGAGAGAAAAAGATACAGAGAGAGAGAGAGAGAGAGAGAGGAGAGAAAGAGATACAGAGAGATGCAGAGAGAGGAAGAGAGAGGAAGAAAGAGACTGGAGAGAGAGAGATAGAGAGACAGAGAGGAAGGACAGAGAGAGGGAGAAGAAAGGGTGACAGAGAAAGAGAAAAGGGAAGAGAGAGAGAGAGGGGGGGGGCATTTATTTAGAATATATCTGCATTAAAGGCCTGGTCACACCCTGCCTACATTGATATTTGTTTTTCATATGCATAAGTTACTTAATTAGCAAAGTGTGACTGAGCCTTAAAGCCCAGGTCACACTCTGCCGATATTGCTACTTCCAGTTATTGATGTAGCTCCTCAAAGTTATCTTTTACAGTGAGGTGTGACTGGGCCCTAAAGACCTGGTCACACTCTGCTGATATCAATACTTTTTTCACAAGATGTAGAAATAGGTTCCCAGCAGATTATTTGAATTACATTTTTAACAAAGTGTGACCGGGCCTTAAAAGCAGGGTCACACTCTGCAGATATTGCTACAATTTTTATATTTTGTATAAATTGGTTCCCTGAAGATTAAAGACAAAATCTGTTAGTGGCAGTCACAACACTCCAATAATGGCAGTTAATAAAGTTGTTTAGTAAGGAGTGACCATGCCTTAAACCTAATCTTTTAAGATGTGGTGATGAAAATTGCTTATGCAAGATTTGGTGATGAAAAAAATTACTTATTTAACATATTACACACTAAAAGATCATAAAGGGGAAGACACCCCAATATTTAGTTGTTTTTAAATAGAAGCAAAAAATTAGAGAAACCGATCAGTGAAAGTTTGAGCGACTACCAATTAAAAATTAAAAAGTTATGAATCTTTAAAAGTGCGATAAATCAAACACAAATTGGCACCTCTGTGATGTATCTTTTGAGCTTTCCTCCCATTTGCTCCATACTAGAAATCTTCTAAAATGTTCCCTTAAGAAAATAATCATACATTCACCCTAAATGTTATTATTGCAAATGTTTTATACAACCTCTGTATGAAACAAGTCAATTCCATCATCAAGAAGTACGAAAATGACAGTTTATGAAATTTTCTGTACAGAGTAAATTGGAGAGGAGCTCGCAAGAAACGTCAGTGTTGCTAATTTGTATTTCACTGATGACAACGTCAAAAATTCAGAACTTTCCTATTTTTAATTTGATATTGCTTAAACTTTCACTTATTTATTTCTGCTTTTATTAAAACCAAGTTAAAATTGAGTGGACTTACTATGTAAGAAATGTGAAATACTCTTCTTCCTACCACATAACATAAATATAGATAATGTCTATATGTAATAATCAACACAAATCAAGGAAAAGGAGAATAATATTTTTTTTTTTCAATTTTATTGAAAACTCGTTTCCACCTTCCACAGACGGATTGTGCTAAAATTGTTTTGCACAAGATACAAACATAGACTCACAAAGTACCGTAAGTACCGTATATATGAAAACGTATTAGACGTTAGACAATTAGGAGAAAAAAAATAAAGGCAAGAAAAGATAAATCACCAAATTTAAGTTGCTTTGAAATTGAATAAAAAAAGGATTTCCTTTCATAGGATGAGAAGCAAGGTTTTGGTATTCTTTTAGACTATTGAACCTGCCTTCAAGATTAGCTCCAAGATATATTGCAAGTAATTTTGAACTCTCATTGTTTATATCATGCCTTGCTCTCGTGTTAATAAATAAATATCAAAATCATGCATTTTCCACAACCAAATAAATGTTGACTTTGCTTTTCTCACCATTTGTAATTTGTAAAAACAAAAACTGATGACAAAAATACATTGAACATGGGATCTACAAAATTGAAAAAAAGAGAACTACTCCTGATTGGTAGTAGAATGAATAATTTCATAAACTCTCATGTACATATAAAATTTGCAAAATAGATTGGAATCAAATAATCTTTCACCTTTAAATAATTTTTTAACAAGGTGTTAAAACAAACTAAATGATGTATATTTGATAAACTACAAGAATGAACATTCTGCTTTAGTCTATTGATAATTACATCCAGTAATAATTTGGTTTTAGATTGTTGTTGTGATGTGCAATGCTAAGACATGTGTACATGAAACAATAACTGGGTGTTTTGATGCTTAAGGTGCTCATAGTTATTTCAAACCATGTTAAATCCTTGCTTTAACAGACTTCCTCCAATGAGTGATAAAGAGTTCTGATGATTTCCACACTCTCCTTTTCGTAGTCCCACATTATGTCTTTCAAGGGAGAAAAGCATTTTGAAGTCCAGATATACATAGATAAGTTGATTCTCCCTGGGACACCTCTAATCTGTATCTACAATGGTGTCTAAATTGCTTTCCTCTCATCAGAGTTCATCATGGTTTTCAATCTGTGGTAATAAAAAGATATATAAAATAGCAAAATGTCAGTAGGTATGCGATAAATGTGAAATTCAAAGATTGGCAACATATATTCAAGAAATATCTCGGTATTTTCTCTTTTCTTCAGTTTTGAGATGCTGACAACTGATCAATGCTCACAATCAGTAGCCAACCTATAGGTATATTGGAACTTAATAATGAAGATCAAAGGAAACTAGTTGTGTTGGTTCATGAACTGGTTTGGCGCTTAGCTAAAGGTCAAGGGGCTCTACAAAGTCAACCACAACCGATTTTATTACTATCAACCACATCAAATGCATTCAGATTGTTAAATTTCTTTTCTTTTTGTTAAATAATCTTGGAACCGATTTGGTTCTACTTAAGTAGCACCTTCCAAAAGGCCATCATTTTAAAAAATAACAGAGTGATGGGAGTAGAGATACATCTGTTTTGGTGACCTGACAATTGCTCCAGCAACACTCTCTCCAAGCTTTAAAGACGCATAGGAGTGGACTCTCATGGGGAATTCAACACCATTACAATTGAGTCTCCAGTTAGGTTACAATTTAGGGCTTGGTCCTAATGTCTGGTCCAAGGTTGAAGTTAGGAAATTGGTTAGTGTAGGAAAAGCAATTGTTGCTGGAGCATATGTCAAGAACTGTGTGTTATATGACATGCTACTTACATCATCTTCTACTAATTCTTCTACGCTATCATCATATTCTTCATCATCAGATAATTCTTCCTCCTCTTCATCTTCCTCCTCCTCTTCCTCTACTTCTTCTTCGTCTTCATATTCTGGTTCTTCTTCCACCTAATGAGAAACAAGTGACAAATACGTTCATGATTACATCTCACATTTTTGTTCTTAATTCAATAAATGGGGCCAGTCACCACGAAATGAGTCCAGTGTCGCATTAGGCTCAATCGTAGTAATAGCGATGTATAGTGTGTATGTACTGAAAATTGACCCACCTACCACATTTAGGATTTTTCCAAAAATCGACTTATTAATGTCTTGTAGTTTATGTCCCCAGAGCTTAGGTCACGAAAATATCTCCTAACATTTTTTGGCAAATAATATAGGCTATGTAATCTGAAATTATCACGAAAATGATGCATTTTTAAAACTGGGTAATCCCATTGTTTATAAAGTCCAATTAGGTTTTTGTTCATATTTCTGGATATAATTTATCAATTTTAATGTGTGACCCCTTAATTTAAAGCTTACTTAATGTAGATTCATATAATACTTAAAAACAGGAATAAAATTTTTGACCAACTGGACTCATTTCGTGGTGACAGGCCCCAAATACCAATTTCACACTTATATATTTAGATATTCATTTCATAGTACTATCTAGTTTGGTCAACTGGGCTTATTAAAATGTTCCAAATCCTACAAATCAAATTGAATGAAATCAGAATAATTTTGTATACATCACCCAAGCATATCTCCCTAAATAAAAATAAAAATCATGAACTGTCACAATTAGTTCTTTTTTTTTTTAATTCTAAATTTGGCATATTCTTCCAGATTTAATGAAAACTTCATAACATCGTCTCTTCTCATTCTTTGATATATAGCAGTTGCATTTCTTGGCTCATTAATACCAGGGCCGTCTTACAAAGAGTTGCAATTGATCCAAATCAATCTTACGTCCTCCAATCAATCGCAAGTTTGCAGTCTCCTATCTCTTATGTACATAGTTGCGATTTGTAAGACAGGGCCCTGTGAGTACAATTTTTTTTCATTCTACAAAAAAATACCTGAAGGACCGAATCCAGACACCATCTGTAAGACTGTCCGAGTAATTCAGCTTCTTTAGATTGCAATTTAACTACAAAATATACGCCCAGCAAAAAGATATGAAATTCCACTCCTTGACTTGACCCTTGACTTACCTTCTCATTAGGGTCAAGGTTCATACTGATCTTGAGCATCCTCTCTATCCTACCAGCGAAGGCAGCAGAGTCGGGGAGGGCGAAACCAGAACGCAGGGTAGCCGTCTCAAACATGACGACGGCAAGGTCCTTGGCCGTCTCATCGTCAGCATCCGCTTCAACCTTCTCTAAGAGTGTCTTGATGAGGGGATGTCTGGGGTTCACCTCCAGGGTCTTCTTCTGGGAGGCGTAGTACCTAGATAAAAAGATAATTCCAGAGTAGAGATTAGTTTCCATGAATAGAACCTGTCACTTGATCTACAGGAACTGGACTACATACACTATCTCAGATATCTTAGGCATTTACATCTTCAAGTACATAGAATGCATTTCTTCAAAGTGTGATCTCTATACTGCCATACACTGCCAATACGTGAATAAATCAACATCTTCAAGTACACATAGGCTTGTCTAAGCTATTATTATCTATAGTTTTATATTTATCATAATGGATTTCACTTCTGCAGAATCAATGCAGGACATTTGGAGTGATATGGTTGTGGATAACATTTCTCTCCACTGGCTTTCACAAGTTTTATGTAGCCTGAAGTCTTTGTTTGATACAAAATTGATATAGTTTTAACCATTATTCACTGCACAGCAATCTCACCTCTCCCATTAATTATATCTAATTTTCTAAAACTTTCCCAAACTGGTATCTTTTATTTTTTCTATTTTCACCTGACTCGTTTGGAAGATTAGATCGACCCTTCAAATACATAACTTTATAACCCTGCTCAATAAAACTAACTGCAGCGTTGACAGGGTTAACCAAATGCTAAACTCACTCTGTGTTAGGATTATTAGCCTGTGCGTATGCCTGAGCCTTCATGATACGTTCCATGTTTCCTGACCATCCGTACTGACTAGCAACCAAGGCACAGGGTGAGTCACTCAGACGGTTGGACAGCTTAGCATCCTTGATCTAAAAGGTCATCATGAAAGTAAAGAGTAGAAATTAAATTGATGTAATAAACATGTTTTTTTTACATTTTCATAAATATATGACACACAAAGGGTGTCAGAGGAAGAACTAAGGCAATTAAACTATGGGACATACTAAATTTACTATGAAGGATGCCATTTTCAGTACTTACTTCTTTTTTAGAGATGTAAATTTTATATCTGTAAAAGATGTGGCTTTTCCACTTAAGCCTATTGACATTTATCTATTAAATCCAGCTCACAATTTCATATTCTAGAATCTCTGAATCTAAATGAAAAAAGACAGAATAACATTCTGATGACTTTATTTCAGTTTTCAGTGATCAACCAGCACCGTACAAACGGCAAATCAAGAATTATCTTTTAAATAAATGCAATATTAAGTCATGTTATGTAAGGAGGTGAAGCCGACCAAAACTTTGGATACCTACCTCATCTCCCAGCGCTGCGTCCTTGAGCCACTTGAGAAGGGGTTCAAACTTGGCCTCCAGCTCCTCCTTCCTCTCCTTGGCAGCCTCGGAGTCCTCCCCATCAATCTTCAGTCCTTCCTTGGCAACGTTCTGGAACTTCTTGCCTTCAAACTCAGGCAGGGATTGGATGCAGTACTCATCTACGGGCTCGGTCAGGAAGATTACCTCGTAGCCCTTCTTCAAGAGTCGCTCAACAAACGGTGAAGATTCAACCTGGTGGTGGAGTTGATGGACATGGGTTAATGTAACAGATTTGTTGATTGTACCCCTCATAAAATCACATTGCAACGTAACCCTCACACCCTATACTTCCCAGAGCAACTGTCGCTGGAGAAAAATGCAAGATCACCAATTTTTTAACATATTAATGTTAAATCACAAAATCATATGACATAGAACTGGTACATTGAGAGTGAAAAAAGATCAATATGTTTCACGTCACTAGACTTCTCACCAGGTCTTAACTGGTCCAAACTCTAGGTCCAAATCGGGTAAAATATTGCCCTGCAGCATTATCCCAGAGGGTAGTTTTATAAGACTCAAGTAATTTTGCAGGTTGAGAGAATGCATTAACTTATTCATTACCCTTCTTTGTACCAATTCAGGTTCAAATCATCTGGTTATTCTTACCTCTTTCCTGCTGGTTCCAGCAACAAAGTAGATGACCTCCTGCTTCTCCTTCATACGCTCCAGATAATCCTGAAGACTGGTCTGTTCCGTCTCAGAGTTTGAGGAGAAGAACCTGACCAGCTTGGCCAGACGGGATCTGTTGCTGTGGTCTTCAATGATCCCCAGCTTGACGTTGACTCCGTACTCCTTGTAGAACTTCTCCATGTATTCTTCGGGGTCCATCTTCTTCAGCATGTCAAGAGTCTGAGCAGGGAACGAGGAAAAAAATAAATTATCATCAACGTAAACTAGTCAGGAATTGCAAGATTGATCCTCTGAGGAACATAACTGCCTGCTTTTTGGATTAGTGTAAATGGTGAAAGCTCTCAAGAAATAAAATCATCTGTCTGCACAAAGTACCACCTCTTGGCATTGGAAATTTAGAGTGTGCTGTTAATACTACTGTTCCTTTCTTCTTTTGGCAAAGTGTATCACTTGGAAAACACACAGACATGTAACTTCATCATAAGTCAATTTTACTACAAAGCCCACAATCCAAAAAAAAATGCAATTATGAGAAAGCAAACTTGACGTTTACAATTTGGGGGCATTTACAGATTTACAGTAAAAGAGATTCACATCTATTTTTCACTATCAATTGACTGGATTTTTTCATCACGTTTTCATTAAAAATGATTAAGTATGAACATCAAAGTATACAACGAAATTCAATGTTCATAGGAGATGATATCAATGAGGGTATGTATATTACCTTCCTGACAAGTTTCTTCTTGATGACCTTGAGTAGTTTGTGTTGCTGGAGAGTCTCACGTGACACATTGAGTGGCAGATCATCGGAGTCAACCACACCCTTGACAAAGCTGAGATACTTGGGCATCATGTCTTCAAAGTCATGGGTGATGAATACACGTCGTACATAAAGCTGTGGACGAAAGAAAAGGAACGTCTTAAAAACTATTGCAATAGGCTACATTAACATCTCAACAGGAAAGTTATATATATATACCAATCGTATGAGTAGAAATGTTATTACAGGGAACGGTAAGAGTGCTAGAAAACAGTCTAGATATTGGTATGCATTTCTTAGTCTTGATTTCCACTAGAACTATTTCAGACATCTAATGCAACATTACAAAATAATTTGTGACTTCTGAAAAGTACCTTGAATTTTTATGATGTCATGTTTTGGGCTCTTTATTTATAGAATGTTTTTCTTCTTCAAATGATCTAAAACCAAAAACATTTTCCTTTCAAATTTGATTTGGTTTCATTCACATTTAAAAAAAGTTGAGACTACATTTTTAATTTTTCATTGTTTCTATTTCTTTATTTTTTAACCTTACACTCAAACAATATTTCCTGGATGGCAAAAAGGGCAGAGGTATAATCATAACATATATCACGAAAGTTATCGTTTGGTATCTATCTTACGACAGACAGGGCCTAACAAACTGACCTTGATGTTGTCAAACTTCTTGCCGTAGTCCTGGAACATCTGGTTTGGTGCCTTGCTGGGGATGAAGAGGATTGACCTGAAGGTGACCTCTCCCTCAGCTGAGAAATGAGTCTTAGCCATGGGTGCATCGGTCTCCTTGGTGAAAGATTTATAGAACTCTTCGTATTCTTCATCTGTGATATCCCGAGGCCTGTACGAAAACACATAACACAAGTGTTAGATTTACAGTTACTAAGATTGATGAGGTAATTTTTTTGTAAGACATGTATGTATGTATTGTGAAATTGGGAACAAAAGCCACTTCGGGGTCAACAGATGATTGTTGACACCAGGGGAGTGTTTCACAAAGACTAAGATTGACTTTAAGTTTGACTTAACTATGGCAGGCCATTCATGCCTCTTCATTCCTTTAACCATTTCTGGCATTGGTTTCTCAAGGGACGTATAAACCGTGGTCACAGATCTAAAGGATTTACATTGAGAGACCAAAAGTGAGAGCAACCAGTGGCATGAATGGCCTGTCATAATTAAGTCCAACTGAAAGTCAATCTTAGTCTTTGTGAAACACCCCCCTGGTCACACAGACAGTCCCTGTAATGAGAGACCCAAATAGGCTGATTAAACTTGTTTAATCCTGATGGAGCAGATCAGCCTTCTACCATAATGTGACTCTCCATTACTTATTTTGTGAATGTTATTTGTGCATGGAATTGAACACCATTTGATGAAAAATCACCAGGGATGAAAAAAGATGTGTTTTCTTGACTTTGAATTACTTCCATTTCAGAAGTCTTCCAATAAGAACATGCAAGACATAAATCTACATTTGTCTCTCCTCAGAAGAGAACAGGCCCTACAGAAACCTAGCTAAGCTTTGCTCGAGAGTGGAAGGATTACATAGTTGTGCACTATTTGAAGCCTTAGGATGCATCGTACAAATGATATCTTTTGATATCTGATGAAATAGTTCAATACTTTTTCCTCTCAAACACATGAAAACAGTTTATTTTTGTGGTGAAGCTATTTCTATAAGCTGTCAAATCATGCTTCACAGATGCTAAAAGGCACATATCGAAGGTTCAGTGACACAAAGACGTAACTCCATATTTTGCCAAAATGAGTATTTGATATCAAAATGATCAAAAAAATGTGGGGTTTCCAGGAAACACAAAGACTTAACTCCACCAAACACCCCATTGAAGTCAATGTCTAGTGAAACATAGACTTAACTCCTTAAGGCCCAAGTGCTCAGTGACACATAAACCACTTTTTTTTCAAAATGGAGTTACGTCTTTGTGTCACTGACCCCTCAATATATTTGACTTACGCTCTGGTCCAGATGGGTTTGTTCTCATTCATCAATCTCCAGTCCCATGTAGTCTTCTCCACCTTCTTAGTCTTGGGTTTCTCTTCCTCATCTGTCTCCTCCTCAACCTCAACATCTGATCAAACAATCAACAGGGATGCCAGTTAGAATTGATCAAAGGGCCTGAAAATTACCTATATGGAATGAGCTATTTTGTACACAAAAAAGCCTAAACTATGGTCTGAAAATTGGCATCCCTGAATCAATAAACATGTCTTCATTTTATAATGTAGATTCAACAAGACAACATAGTGCATGTTGGAATAGTAACTGTATAATACTTGAAAGATTAAATGTGAGTTCTGAACAGTTTCTTAATACTTGGTGAGAGACATTAGAATCTGCCAGAATTTTGTGCAAGATCTTTTTTTTAATACACATCTAAAATGAGTCAAGATGGACCCATAAGCAAGCTTCAGACTATTTTGACTTCATTCTGTAAATTTGGTTGAAGAGTAATTGGAAAAGTATATTTCATTGTTGAGTTGAGCCATGATAACCTTGAAACGGCAACTAATTCTGGTTTATTCAGTGACAAATTCTGGTTTACTGCCAAATTTCATACCATATGAGCTAGAATATTATAATAATAATTACAGTGCTTATATAGCGCCTAACACTTACTTTGTCAGAAGTCTCTAAGTGCTCTACAATAATGCAGCATAATTACCCTGGCTTTAGCAGTGCAGCTGTTATGAAGGCAAGTCTGAAGTATTTTGTCCCATACATAACAGACTCTATCAAAGAAGTTCGCTTTCATAGTTTTGTTTAGTTGATAGCCCTGTAAAAGCTTATATCAGACCAGATGTCGCAGGAAAAAGATACTTTTAATGCTAATTGTGGTCATTATAGCATGATATATGGGACACATAATGACTTTCCCCAAGAGCTGGGGGGTGTTTCACGAAGATCCTAAGTCGAATTTAAATTAAATTTAAAACTTATGGAGAGCCGTTTGTAGCCATAAAATAAAATATATTCAATAGCAAAAAAAAGTATTTTTGACTTTTTATAAATTCAACATCAAGAACATGAAATCTCCTTAATAATAGAAAATAAGAATGATTGGAATCAACATTTTATGCCTTTTCAAATAACTTTTACAAAATATTTTCATAGATGCTAATGGCTTTCCATAATTGCTAAGTCCAACTTAGAGATAAGTTCAACTTAGGATCTTTGTAAAACACCCCCCTGATGTCGCAGGAAAATGAAACTTTCAATGCTAATTGTGGTCATTATAGCATGATACTTTCACCCAAGAGCAGATTGCTTGAGAGATTGTTAGACTGACTTACCCTCATCTTCAGTCTTATCCTCCTCCGCTTCAGCTGCTTCATCTTCCTCAATAGGTTCTTCAACTGACTCGGTCTGGTGGTATTAAAAACATTGATGGAATAACATCAACTTATTAGCTCATTAATTCATTACGTCTTTAAATTCTTCTATCACATCTTTTATGTCGAAACAGAACATATAAAATAAACATTCAAAATGTAGAGCAAAGATTCCACCATTGATGTCAAAAGCAACACTGATCTGAAAAATAAAAATAATTCCCATAAAATATATTACTTTATGAAGAAAAAAAATTCAGATTTGAATGCAATTACCAATATCAATCAAACTTTTCATAATCTGATCAATTTGACAGGCTTAATATACTATGTGACCCCACCCCCTCCCCCCCCCCCCCTCCCCCCTCCCCCCCCCCCCAAAAAAAGGGAAAAAGAAGACTGCAAGAAATGTTCCTTCAGACAAAATTATGAAACAAAATCTTTTAATACAACATTGTACAATGTACATTTCACATCTACATGGGCATTCAAGATTCCTGAATGATGTCATCCCTCTCTCTCTCTCTCTCTCTCTCTCTCTCTCTCTCTCTCTCTCTCTCTCTCTCTCTCTCTCTCTCTCTCTCACCTTGCTACCCCACAGATAAATGGGGAAGTTGATGAACTGACTGTACTTCTTGACAAGGTTCTCAATGGTATCTGCTTCCAAGAAATCATAGGCTTCCTCCTTCAGCAAAAGACTGGAGGAAAAATAAACATATATATATATCAATAATGAACATTGCAAGGCATCGATTAAGACTGTTTGATCCCCAAAATGTATATATGATTCGGACAAAACACAGAAGGAATTGGATTTATTTCAAGAATTTACCAACTATAAACCCAGCAAGAATGTGTTGTCTCCAAAGCAACAAATGTTTCAAATGAGCAGAAGAAAGATTTATATTAAAGTAATAGTAAGTATGAAATAAAAATTCATAAAAAATTTATTTTCTTGATCTAATATCACAAAATGCAACATCACAAGTACAACTCCTTTGGAGAAAAAAATAGATTGTTATATAACAATGTGCCTAACCCATAATTCAATGCTTCTATAATGACTTTTAGTAACATTTCAACAGAATTTGCAAATCTTGATTGATACAAGGAAATCATCAAGGTAAAGCATCAAGATAAACATTCCAAATCACAGACAAATCCTACAGCCGTCCATTATGTGTTAAATGACTGAGCCCAAGGTACCTACCTGATAGTAGTTCCACGTTTGAGAGTGTCTCCACGAGGGTCCTTATTGATAGAGAATTCAGCCGAGTCAGATTCCCAGATGTACTGCTCATCATCGTTGTGTTTAGATGTGACGATAACACGCTCAGCAACCAAGAATGAAGAGTAGAAACCAACACCAAACTGACCAATCAGATCGGTAGCTTCAGATGAATCCATGTCCTATGAAGAAAACAAATATCTAATTGTCATTTACAATGTTTCCACAAACAAATACAATGCACAACTTTAAGGTTGATTACTGGCAAGATTAATGAAAAGGAATGAAATCAATCAGAAATTTCATATAATAAATCTGTAGATCTATTGTATAGGTTATAACAATTCAATACTACCACACCTACAAAATAATACCTTTAAACTTTGATATCTTCCAGATAATTTTAACAAATTCATTCTTTACTTGGATTAAATGAATAAAAGGTTTGGGTTATTTGCAGGGTTCTTTTCTACATCTTAACAAATGTTGAGGTCCCTCATAATATATTTAACAGATTCAAAGAACAGAACTTACGGAAAGTTTCTCAAAGAATTCACTGGTTCCAGATTTGGCGATGGTTCCAAGGTTGTTGATGAGGTCATTCTTGGTCATACCCACACCGGTATCGGTTATATGAAGCATGTGATTATCTTTATCAGCCTGATGATGAAATAAAACAAGATTAACTACTTTACAGTAAACTACAAGTATAACTCTAGAGCAAACTAAATAGATCATCATTGGTATAATAAATAAATAATCATTATAAAAACTCCACTATTATTATTATTAAATAGAGCATATTTATCATCTTAAGACTCTACATTTTGCTAAAAAAATGCTCTAATAATTTATACATGTGTGTTGTAGCTTCAATAAATAACTTAATTTTTGTAAAGACTATAAATAAAACAGATGTGATCAAAGAAAGAGCAAAAAAAAAAAATTCACTAGAAAAAAGCCTATATAACATCATTGAAAAAATCTTCAATCTAAAATTCTGCATCGCATCCAATAAGGTAATCCGATGTCAATGTATTTCAATCTCAGCTCCTAAATCAAATATGGATTATGGACAGAGATTGCCTGCAATGCATACATTGTGATTCCCAGGCTAGGTCTTATACTGCAGGCTGGGGAAATATACAGAAGATACAACATAAAAACAAGTTTGTATTTCTGAAAATAATGAATGTAAGAATACGATGTGAGTAGAACGTATAGCACTTTATTGCGCTTACAGACTTCGGTGGTAAGCACTCTATAAGCACCACTTTTATTATTATTACCATCATTATTATCGTACCTTAATCTTGATAGATAGTTCTTCTGTGGCATCCAAGGCTGCTTTATCTGTCAACGATGTCAATCTGATCTTATCCAGAGCATCAGAAGCATTGGAGATCAACTCACGCAAGAAGATCTGCAAAGAATATAAGAAGAGTAGAGGTGTTGTGGTCGAGTGGATACGTCGCCGGACTGTCGATCACAAGGTCCGCGGTTCGAGTCCCGCCGCCGCACTAATGTTCTTTGGCAAGACATTGATCTACATTTGCCACACTCTACCCAGGTGAAGTAAATGGATACCTGGTAGGAATTTATTCCTTGAAATGCTAGAGCGCCGTATGGCAGCCGTGCTAAAGCCAGGGTAATAATCGGGAGCGCCAGGAGGGTCAAATCTGACTGATTATTATTATTTTAAATAACTTATTTAGTTATTTTTTTATGCAATTATTTTAAAGTAAAGAGTAGATGAAGCTATGTTAGTTACTCGTCAGAATTGAAAATCTTTAGAACAGTTATTATTCATAATGTATAACAAGCTACAACCAAAATTTTAACTACTAATATTGGCTTCTTATACTATGCTCATATCAAACAAACTGTGATGCTCAAATGCTTCAACATTATTATCAGGGTTATTGCTATTTTAGGTGTGAAAGAAAAGAAATTCATAACAGAAAAATGCAGAGACTGAGGGGTCCTGACCTACCTCCTTGTTTCTGTAGAGTGAGTTGATGATGAGTTTCATCATACGGTTGACCTCAGCCTGGAATACATGTTTTTCAGCTGAATCTCGTAACTCTTTCATTTGAGAAACATTTAATCCATCCAGTTTGATCGCTTCCTCCTCCCTAAAAAACACAGCAATATAATGCATGTAAATCATTCCCTGGAAACCACTTTAAATACAAAATACAAACTGTAATGTCATTGGTTTCACATTACATTTCATTTCATTTTGACTCTTAAAAGAAGAAAACATGTAACAATAACAAAATGAAGGATCAGACACAATCTCTTTAATTTACAAGCAGAATACAAAGCCTAACATTTACATAGATTTTTATAGTTGCCTTTAGGTAACAAGTTTCCTTTAAATCTAACCTTACAGCCGAGCCCATAGTAGGGATTTACAAGCCCTCAAAAAATTTATCTCAAAATTCATTAGTGTGCAAACTTTCAGATCAAAAGACTGGTTTTCTCTCTATGAGTGAAAATTGAAGCCCTAATTTTGTACGCAACAAATGGGGTGAATGAATTACTGCCAGTGGCAAAAGTCAAATTAACAAGAAAGATAACTAATTTTTTTTGGTCAATAAAGAATATTTAAGCCCCATTACAAGTTTTGAGATTTTCACTGTGCAAATACCTGCAACGCCCTTTTAATAAAGTAAAAAGTAAATTTGTAAAAGTGACAATGGTAGTGTTTATCTTTCTATTCAGTGCTCAAACCATTTGCCTCAGATATAAACAATCGCAAGTTGTGGTATCTTCAATATATTAATCATCTGTTAGTTACAGTAGCAACAGGAAGGCTTCAAGGAAGTGCATGTTTACCTTGCGACAACTTCATCATCAGTCTTTGATCCATCACGACTCTTTCCAATGTCGTCTTCAACAATTGCCTCTCCCTCATCTTCATCTGCTGCTGATGCACATGCTGTAAGAAAAAAGGGAAAAACAATACAATAGGCAAAGCAATATCTTCAGATTTCTGATGAAACATGACTGGCAAGTTATCCAGTTAATAAAAGTAGAAGAATCCAAGCAGCTCCTTTGATTTACACATGTACTCCATAAAGCATCCCATCTGATTTATTCAAGGACATACTGAGTAATTTCATCTTGGATTCAGAAATATGTGTTTACATTTTTGTTTATCTGAACAAGTCTGAATTTCATTTCAAAATACAAGATTGTTATAAAATTTCCGTCACTGAGGCAGCACTGCACCCTCTGAAACAAAGACTTTAGTAGACCTGGTTTAGTTTTTAGTTTTACTCGACTTTAATAGCCTAGACCTACAACAGAATGTCTGGAAACCCTGACGTTAAATTCATTTCTCTTCAAGTCTTTTCATAATTTTATCAAACCTCAATCCTCATTCTTGACTTTATCTCTTGAGATTGACGTTAGTCGTTTACTTACCTGCTTACAATTTACAGAAATGACCGTTAGGCGTTTAAAATAAAATTGCAATGACATGCAAAACTAGTAGAAGTCTCGAAAGAGCAGTAGGGTCTAATTTAACTGGCACAAGATTAATCAAGTGAACCAAAGTTCAAATTTTAATTTTTGTACCACTTGCATTTTCCCTTGGCCTTGTCTTCTGACTATAGACTAGTTTTGGCTTATCATATATATTAAAAAGCATTCTGCATTCTACACATCCATTTATGCATTAAGAAAACGGATTTGTATTTAGATTACCGTCCTCAATACATTTCATTTGTTCTAGTTTTAGCTCTGAGCCTGAGGAAGTTGATAAAAACCGAGAGCGGGGCGAATCATAACACTACACAAAATCGAGGATACGGGACTGTACGACTAAAAAATGTCACTTTGCTGAAACATTTCGCCCCAAATTTGCCGCATAAACACAATCTTGTTGCTTACCTGCAAACAGCAGAACACCTACGATGGCTAAAAGCCAAAATTTGTTGACCATTTTGACTGCTCCTCAGACGTAACTGAAAGAAATGTAATATAATGATGAGCAGCTACACCTATCTAGACCTAGATCTACTGCCTTTCTTTCGCAGCTGAACGCTTACGTGTATTTCTGTCACATTTACTACACACACACGTGTAAGCTGGCCAATCATTGAACACCACGCCAAAAGATTGTGATGACGTCGACCAATGACAGAGGTCCAAATCAGCTTATAACCACTTCGTGGACCAATGTGATTGGTGCTGAAGTTCACATCATCTATACTTTAAAAGGGGCGTGGCAACTCGTTAAATTCTACCTGTTGTCAAATTAATAGGTGAAGATTAAATTAATTAATTAGATATATAGGGGGTCTAAGTCTACTAGCAATTGAATAGGCCAAACAAAGGGCTGTGTAAGAGTAAATGATATATAGAGACAAAGAATGTATAGAGCTAGGTATGTGAGATGTGCCATCCCCTAACTATTCCCCACTGATAATAATTATGTTTTGTTAAAGCTTATCTGTATGAGGGATTAGACCACCCTGCAAGTTCACTGGACAGGTGGTTATCTCATCAACTCAGCTCTCGATTAAAATAAGAAAAAGAGGATCATTGGGGACCAATAGTCACCGATTAGGCATTGTTTTCTAAATAGAGGGAGCAAGTAGGTAACATTGTTCAGATGAGAGAAAGTGGTGCTAAGGACTGGTAAAGACTTCAATGCTAGATGAACAATTAAAGTTAATCTAAAAGTTTTAGTGAAAACAGACCATTGTTATTATTATTATGAATCCGGGCTAACTCGGCCCACGGGACTACTCGGCCCAGCTGGAAAAACTGGGCCGAGATGTCCCGACCTGATTAATCGATCGAGAGATACCAATGTGTATATGTTTGTGCTCTTTGTGACTTAATAATGCCCTTTCCAACCAAAATCTTTAATGGAATTGTGTTAAATGATACTAATGAAGACAATCTATGACTTATCTTTAGGTAAAATGACAAAAAAATGACATTTCGGATAATTTACTCACAGCTCGCAATCCGCATTGCCGCACGTACATTAAATGTGCGTTGTATCTACTCGGACCACTGAAATTCGAGCAGTGTTTTTGTCGGTAAATCACTGCAAAAATATCATTTTTATCTCGTATGAAGGTCCATTTTTCATTCCTGACACAGATTTCATTATTGAGAAGTCGAATATAGTACATTTTAGACTAGATGGTTGATGTTTGTTCACATTCTTTCGTCCTGGCCGTAAATTAGCAGACTACTGCCTAGTGCTACCGCAGCAGCTCAGCTCAGTGTGCAGCTAGCCGTACAGCGCCGCCGGCCTGGTCGGCGGGGGAATTCACTGACTCGTGCCGGGCTGCTGCACTGCATTGCATGATTGTACTGCCCAATTTGATCGAGTGATGTGTGAGTATAACTAATCAAACTAGATCTATATCTACTGTATTATCATTATTCATTCCGAGTAGAATATCCAATTTGATTTAGTGAGTAAACTAGACCTATATCTACTGTAGCTACATCATTATCATATACTAGATTAGTCATTCAGAGTAGAATATTTGATTAATGAAGGAATGGAATTTTTCTTTTTCATAATCAGATAATCATATTTTACTCCTAAAAGTTAAAGACTTGATAAATAGCTAGATCTCTCGTAAGGGCCTAGCCTAGTACTGTAAGAGAAGTGAGCTGAAGAATCGCCTTCTTTTTTTTTATTTTGGAGGGGCAGGCGCGTAGCCAGGGAGGGGGGGGGGGCAGTGGGGGCGGTCGCCCCCCCCCCCCCAAAAAAAAAGGAAGAGGACGTAGGGAAAAAAAGGATTAAGAGTCGAGAACGGTACAACGAATCGTCTTCTTTCTCTAATTATTTAATGAAACATCAAAGCTTCCGCGCGGAAAAGGGGGGACGGAACTGAATTCAGATAAGGATAAAGAGTCGAGAACGGTACAACAAATCGGGGTCCAGACAACTCGCCACAAAGACAACCCGCCCCAAGACAACCCGCCACAATACCCTGGACATCCCGCCACAATACCCTGGACAACCCGCCACAATACCTTGGACAACCCGCCACAATACCCTGGACAACTCGCCACAGCCTTTTCGGACAAATCGCCACACTTTTTCCCATCATGATTTCTAGATCTAAAATGAAATGAAATTGTAATTTTTCATGATTTTCGTGCTTTTATAAACACAGTCATTACAAAGAATAAAGTTGATTTCCCTTGTAACAATGATATATATTGAAATGAAATTGTCATTTTTCATGATTTTCGTGCTTTTAAAAACACAATCATTACAAAGAATAAAGTTGATTTCCCTTGTAACAATAATATACTTTTGATCTAGAGGTCTATAACAGCTGCATTTTTCTGTCCCAGAATTTTTTTAATGGTAGGATACTGGAAGCACTGGCGTACTGATAGGGGGGGGGGGGGGGGTGGGCAGTTGACCCGTGAAATAAAATTGGAATGTGGTTTATTTCTAGATTTTCTGGGTTAGTTTTGTCAGAGGCGGCATTCTTGGTTGGGGGGGGGGGGGACACTGTGCCCCCACTTTTCCAGGTTCCCCTAAAGTGCCCCCTTATCCTTTGTACATGTCCTTTTCCCTTCTGATAATTTTTGATGGTAGGAATTCATGGACAGTTGACCCACGAAATAAAATTGAAATTTGGTTTATTTCTAGATTTTCTGGGTTAGTTTTGCACTTTTGCCCACAGTCAGAGGCGGCATTCTTGGTTGGGGGGGGGGGGGCACTATGCCTCCACTTTTTCAGGTTCCCCTAAAGTGCCCCCTTATCATTTTGTACATGTCCTTTTCCCTTCTGAGAAGTGCCTACTTTTCTTTCTCAGATGTTTTAATTATAATGTTACTCATAATTACATAAAAGAACTTTTCAGTCTTTCTTCATTAAATTGTCTTTAATATTCATCATGTAATTTTTCAAATGGGACCTTACACTTTTAGCTCGCTTGCTCGAAAAATCAATATTCAGTCCATCACACCAAATCGCGAAGTATGTTGCTTAAACAATAATGTCGTTCCACGTAAAGAAATAAACAAATATTGATGTCATTCGTGGTAATGTATTCACAATCTTGACGAAGGCGTAGGCCTTTATACAGATATCTAAAAATGGTTTTTATTATTGTTGATGTGTCCCTTTGTAGGTGCCCCTTTTTCAGAAATCCAGCCATTCTTGCGATCATAGGCGCCAGAAGTGGGGGCAGGGGACTCGCCCTCCTCCCAACGAAAAAGTGTGTGTGTGTGTGTGTGGGGGGGGGGGGTGTGGGTCAAAAATGAATTACCACTCCCCCCCCCCAAAAAAAAAAAAAAAAAAAAAAAATCAGCAATAAAGCAGTATAATTGATTACTATTTAGTAACCAAAAAGATCATACAAATATAATAAAACCTAAATTGAATCAAATTAAAATGATATTCCATTCAAAGAATTAAATTTCATAATTAAATTTCAATTTACATGACATGGGGTGGAGATGATGAGAGGGATGGAGATGATGAGAGGGATGGAGATGATGAGAGGGATGGAGAGGGATGGAGATGAGAGGGATGAAGATGATGAGATGATGAGATGATGAGAGGGATGGAGACAATGTGAGAGATGGAGATGATGAGAGGGATTGGTGAGGGATAGAGATGATGAGAGGGATGGAGACAATGAGAGGGATGGAGATGATGAGAGGGATGGAGACAATGTGAGGGATGGAGATGATGAGAGGGATGGAGAGGATGAGAGGGATGGAGACAATGGGAGGGATGGAGATGATGAGAGGGATTGGTGAGGGATGGAGGTGATGAGAGGGAAGGAGACAATGTTGATGATGTAAGGGATGAAGACGCTGTTGATGACGGATTGGTGAGGGATGGAGACGGTGTGAGGAATGAAGATGATGAGAGGGATGGAGATGATGAGAGGGATGGAGACGGTGTGAGGGATGGAGATAATGAGAGGGAAGGAGACAATGAGAGGGATGGACATGGTGAGAGGGATGGACATGGTGAGAGGGATGGAGATGGTGAGAGGGATGGAGATGATGAGAGGGATGGAGATGATGAGAGGGATGGAGATGATGAGAGGGATGGAGATGATGAGAGGGATGGAGATGGTGAGAGGGATGGAGATGATGAGAGGGATGGAGATGATGAGAGGGATGGAGATGATGAGAGGGATGAAGATGATGAGAGGGATGGAGATGATGAGAGGGATGAAGATGATGAGAGGGATGGAGATGGTGAGAGGGATGGAGATGATGAGAGGGATGGACATGATGAGAGGGATGGAGATGATGAGAGGGAAAGAGACAATGTGAGGGATGGAGATGATGAGAGGGATGGAGACGAGAGGGATGGAGACAATGGGAGGGATGGAGATGATGAGAGGGATTGGTGAGGGATGGAGGTGATGAGAGGGAAGGAGACAATGTTGATGATGTAAGGGATGAAGACGCTGTTGATGAGAGGGATTGGTGAGGGATTGAGACAGTGTGAGGAATGAAGATGATGAGAGGGATGGAGATGATGAGAGGGATGGAGACGGTATGAGGGATGGAGACGGTGTGAGAGATGAAGACAGTGTGAGGGATGGAGACAATGTGAGGGATGGAGACGGTGTGAGGGATGGAGACAGTGTGAGGGATGAAGATGATGAGAGGGATGGAGACGATGAGAGGGATGGAGACGGGAGGAATGGAGACGTCTCCATCCCTCTAATCATCAATATCGTCTTCATCCCTTACACCATCAAAATTGTCTCCATCCCTCTCATCATCTCCAATTCTCCATCCCTCACATCGTCTCCATCCCTCTCATCATCTCCATCCCTCACATTGTCTCCATCCCTCTCATCACCTCCATCCCTTTTATTATCAATATCGCCTCCATTCCTCTCATCATCTCCATCCCTCACCAATCCCTCTCATCATCTCCATCCCTTACATCATCAACATTGTCTCTATTATGTATTATGCCACGTTGTGGAA